TTTGCACACCAGCTCTAATAAACTAGTAGACTGCAAAGTTATTAACTTGATGACAACAATTGGGCGAGACAGTAAAACAGTATGCAGTTGATGTAGTATTCTTGTTTACCCGTATATCGGCCGTAGGAGTCCAGTATTTAGAAGTAACAAAGGTTTGAATGTTTGTGCAAGGCCTTCGTCTTGAATTATCATCAGCTGCTAGATCTGTCATATCTAATATGCTACAAGAAGCCATCGAATGAGCCTGAATGTATAAAACAATAGTAATACAAGGACTAGCCATGTATGGACCTGTCTCAACTAACAACCCAATAGCCCCACCACCAATATGCCGAATGACTTGCTCTACAAATCTTTCAGTAATAGCTACTGTCTTGTGAACAACTTATATAATGTATTTCGTATCTCCTGTAACAAGTAGCTTAGTAAAACAAATGATAGAAATATACCACTAACCTGAAAAAAGCCAACCGACTATTACCGCTAAGAACCATGAAGGTAGTCACAAGCTCGACAGTAATATATCCAATATTCATAAGTTATTGGATACCCAAAGGGCCCTCTATGACCTTAAGAATGGGGGCCAAAATAGAGTTTGAGTTAAAAAGAATGGGCATACAGCACCTGATAATGACCAAGCATTAGTGTCTGGATCATACAGACCTTTTTATTGTTACCAAAATGAAATCGATATTGAAAAGCATGAATTTAAGGCACCCATTAGTTATCGAAACCCTACAAAATGAATCATATCAATGTAACAAATGGTTTTGGTTATGGTTGCTAAAACGGAAAAAGAACCAAAATAGATGAGCAACATGAGTTCGATTCTTGCCAGGAGCCTAGTAAAGGTAAATATAAGTCATACTTGAAGCTTGTGGAAAAAAACAATTCGAAGGGATGATGTAGTCTTAGATATTGCTCTAAGAATAGAATTGAAGTAAAAATGGAAGAACATGAGGTATGCAATTATTATCAGGAATTTGCTAATTGTATTGCCAATAAAACCAGTGATGCAGAGGTGGTGAAAGATGCTGATAAGATGAATGGTTTTTTACGTTGCAATGAGAATGAAATTGGGGCAGAAAAGAATGAATATGAAGTATTTAAGGAAAGTGTAAAGTATGCTGAAAAATCGATAACGAAAGATAGGTCCAATAATAGTGATGTAAGATCAGAAAGTTGGTTCGTAAAAATGGTTCAACAAATTGAAGACAATATAGACAAAGGTATTAAGAGTAATGAACAAAGTAGTATCGTTGAGGAGTGTGAAATGGATGAAGATAGAGAAAAAAAAGAAAGTGTCAAACTGAATAAGGTGGTTAGTACGGGTAGTGACGAACCTTTACAAACAAGCAAAAAAGGAGAAGAAAACTTACCTTTGTCTGGTAACCAACTGGCCAAAAAGATCAAATGCACAAGTGAAATGCCCAATGATGAGATCATTAAAGACGAACATAGACCATCTAATGAAAATGAATTATATACAAATTAGCTCAACAATGGCAATACAGAGAAACAATGTAATCACAGACAGTACTTCCAAAATGACAAAAATTCAGATAGTGATAGCAAAAAGGTGCTCAAATAGCATTGGAAAGCTAGAGAAGGTCGAGATTGTGATGACGAAATAGTAACCCAAATGACTAATCTGATTAAAAGAAACTATTTTATGAATGAAGTGAAATGTATTTCTATTACTTGGGTTGTGGAGAAATTTGGCCAGTATTTACGTAAACTCTGACTCACCAAGTTAATTAACTGTTGTGTTCCAATATTCTTGAATTCGACACGACATGTGTTTAACCCAGGAGGAAAGTCTAAATAAATAATGAAAAAATTATATAAATAGATAAAATAAATGAATAGATGAAAAAAAAAAAAATAAAAAATAGTACATATCCCTGGTTTTACTATCTCGGAGTGGGAACGAAGGCTAGAACCAGACTTTGATGAAATAATAAGAGAGGCAAGAAGGTTGAGAGAGAAAAAAACCCGAAGGTTGTTGATGAGTTCGACGGAGCTCACCTCTTGAGAGGAGGAAAATATTAAGAAAAATTTTGACAAATTTTTCGTATCTTGCACTTTCACTATATAGTTTCTTTATCTCTCTGTATAAAAGTAGTAAATCATGTAGCCATGATAGTAATAGCACATATACAGGTTCGAAACCTGGGATTAGGGTTTGAAACCTAGGATCTGGATGTGGAACTCCAGATCTGGGTCTGAAACCTCAGATCTGGGTTTGAAACCCCAGATCCAGGTTTGAAATCTTTACTTATCAAAATGTATAAATAGGATGTTTGCTTAATAAATAAAGTAACTCTTTCTTACTTGGCTTCAATAATAAATAAAGTAGATACTTTACCTAACTTTTCCAACTCTTTCTTATTTTGACCTAATAATAATTATATAATAAGCTCTAACCTTACTTACTAAATAACACGTGATAACTAACTTGAACCTAAACGTAACCTGTGGTGACCTAACTTGAACCTAAACGTAACCTGTAGTGATCTAACTTGGATCTATACATAACCTGTGGTGACCTAACCTGGACTCTACATAACCTAGCTGCAACCTATAATGACCTGACTTAGATATCCTAATCAACTCAGACAAAACCTTAAAAAAAGTTCTGCAAAGAAGACCTAGGTATGATTCGTCTAAGTGGTTTGTCTTTATCTCATTTGAGATTCTTAATTTACTAAGAATTTATATCCCAAAAGTCTGCAGTAGGTGTTGTTATGACTAGGAAGAGCTTTTATATGTTCAGACCAATTTAGTCCAGCGTCATAAGTATAAATCCTGATAGTAAGTAGCACAGTCTGAATTCGTATATGGTAATAATTATTGATTGGAGTAAGTACTGCTGCTTCAATAAGACTATATTTGAAAGAGATTATTACAGGTTATGTCTGAGTTGATTAGGATATCTAAGTCAGGTCATTATAGGTTGCAGCTAGGTTATGTAGAGTCCAGGTTAGGTCACCACAGGTTATGTATAGATCCAAGTTAGATCACTACAGGTTACGTTTAGGTTCAAGTTAGGTCACCACAGGTTACGTTTAGGTTCAAGTTAGTTATCACGTGTTATTTAGTAAGTAAGGTTAGAGCTTATTATATAATTATTATTAGGTCAAAATAAGAAAGAGTTGGAAAAGTTAGGTAAAGTATCTACTTTATTTATTATTGAAGCCAAGTAAGAAAGAGTTACTTTATTTATTAAGCAAACATCCTATTTATACATTTTGATAAGTAAAGATTTCAAACCTGGATCTGGGGTTTCAAACCCAGATCTGAGGTTTCAGACCCAGATCTGGAGTTCCACATCCAGATCCTAGGTTTCAAACCCTAATCCCAGGTTTCGAACCTGTATATGTGCTATTACTATCATGGCTACATGATTTACTACTTTTATACAGAGAGATAAAGAAACTATATAGTGAAAGTGCAAGATACGAAAAATTTGTCAAAATTTTTCTTAATATTTTCCTCCTCTCAAGAGGTGAGCTCCGTCGAACTCATCAACAACCTTCGGGTTTTTTTCTCTCTCAACCTTCTTGCCTCTCTTATTATTTCATCAAAGTCTGGTTCTAGCCTTCGTTCCCACTCCGAGATAGTAAAACCAGGGATATGTACTATTTTTTATTTTTTTTTTTTTCATCTATTCATTTATTTTATCTATTTATATAATTTTTTCATTATTTATTTAGACTTTCCTCCTGGGTTAAACACATGTCGTGTCGAATTCAAGAATATTGGAACACAACAGTTAATTAACTTGGTGAGTCAGAGTTTACGTAAATACTGGCCAAATTTCTCCACAACCCAAGTAATAGAAATACATTTCACTTCATTCATAAAATAGTTTCTTTTAATCAGATTAGTCATTTGGGTTACTATTTCGTCATCACAATCTCGACCTTCTCTAGCTTTCCAATGCTATTTGAGCACCTTTTTGCTATCACTATCTGAATTTTTGTCATTTTGGAAGTACTGTCTGTGATTACATTGTTTCTCTGTATTGCCATTGTTGAGCTAATTTGTATATAATTCATTTTCATTAGATGGTCTATGTTCGTCTTTAATGATCTCATCATTGGGCATTTCACTTGTGCATTTGATCTTTTTGGCCAGTTGGTTACCAGACAAAGGTAAGTTTTCTTCTCCTTTTTTGCTTGTTTGTAAAGGTTCGTCACTACCCGTACTAACCACCTTATTCAGTTTGACACTTTCTTTTTTTTCTCTATCTTCATCCATTTCACACTCCTCAACGATACTACTTTGTTCATTACTCTTAATACCTTTGTCTATATTGTCTTCAATTTGTTGAACCATTTTTACGAACCAACTTTCTGATCTTACATCACTATTATTGGACCTATCTTTCGTTATCGATTTTTCAGCATACTTTACACTTTCCTTAAATACTTCATATTCATTCTTTTCTGCCCCAATTTCATTCTCATTGCAACGTAAAAAACCATTCATCTTATCAGCATCTTTCACCACCTCTGCATCACTGGTTTTATTGGCAATACAATTAGCAAATTCCTGATAATAATTGCATACCTCATGTTCTTCCATTTTTACTTCAATTCTATTCTTAGAGCAATATCTAAGACTACATCATCCCTTCGAATTGTTTTTTTCCACAAGCTTCAAGTATGACTTATATTTACCTTTACTAGGCTCCTGGCAAGAATCGAACTCATGTTGCTCATCTATTTTGGTTCTTTTTCCGTTTTAGCAACCATAACCAAAACCATTTGTTACATTGATATGATTCATTTTGTAGGGTTTCGATAACTAATGGGTGCCTTAAATTCATGCTTTTCAATATCGATTTCATTTTGGTAACAATAAAAAGGTCTGTATGATCCAGACACTAATGCTTGGTCATTATCAGGTGCTGTATGCCCATTCTTTTTAACTCAAACTCTATTTTGGCCCCCATTCTTAAGGTCATAGAGGGCCCTTTGGGTATCCAATAACTTATGAATATTGGATATATTACTGTCGAGCTTGTGACTACCTTCATGGTTCTTAGCGGTAATAGTCGGTTGGCTTTTTTCAGGTTAGTGGTATATTTCTATCATTTGTTTTACTAAGCTACTTGTTACAGGAGATACGAAATACATTATATAAGTTGTTCACAAGACAGTAGCTATTACTGAAAGATTTGTAGAGCAAGTCATTCGGCATATTGGTGGTGGGGCTATTGGGTTGTTAGTTGAGACAGGTCCATACATGGCTAGTCCTTGTATTACTATTGTTTTATACATTCAGGCTCATTCGATGGCTTCTTGTAGCATATTAGATATGACAGATCTAGCAGCTGATGATAATTCAAGACGAAGGCCTTGCACAAACATTCAAACCTTTGTTACTTCTAAATACTGGACTCCTACGGCCGATATACGGGTAAACAAGAATACTACATCAACTGCATACTGTTTTACTGTCTCGCCCAATTGTTGTCATCAAGTTAATAACTTTGCAGTCTACTAGTTTATTAGAGCTGGTGTGCAAAAAGTTTGCTAAAATTGGTGCACAAAACTTCAGTCTTGTATTGCTTCATTGTTCTAGTATAGTATCCATCTTTTTTTCGTTCCTACCACAGTACAGCAGGACCGATTAGGTGAGCAGCTGCAATTACGAGCTGCCTTGTTTCTACAATATTGTTTGCCTCAATGCTTGTTTTATTGACTCCAACCATTCTATAGGGTCTTGTTTTCCTCTGCTAAATGTTAGGATTTTTACCAAATCTATTTCGCCAAGATTCACTTGAGGTTCTTTGGATTGCGTCAACACATCTATCATGGTCTGGAGCAACTGTTGAAGTTGGTAGTTCGGGTTATTTAACAGAATTTCATTTTGGAAAAGGTTGTTTTTCTATATTTTTTTGACTTTACGCCTATATTATTGTACTAATGGTTGTTTACACTATTATACTGATATTCATTTCAACTTTTGTATATATACTCGTTCACACTATTGCTGTATACATGTTCGTCCACTTACTGTTGCGATGTTCATTCACACTTATTACCAAAATGTTTTATTCTCATTCAATGTTCACCATACAATCCTATCAATGTTCGTCCACACAGTACTATTCATGTTATACACACAATACTTATCAACGCTTGTTTATAAAGATTATCAATGCTTGTTCAAACAATAATATCAATGTTCATTCGTACAATACTATCAGCATTCGTTCGTACTCAACGTTTATCTACACTCTTCAGCGTACAATTGTTATTATTATTTTTTTTTTTCGGTGTTAAAGTGAGGTTTTGCCTCGTATCTTTTATTAGATATTAAATTTTTGCTTTATATGGCTACAAATAATCTTAAGAATACTGGCTTAGACAATTTTATCTACAACCTAAACCTACCAGAGTATGCTACGTTCCCACCACATATTGGGTTATACCTGGATTTGATGTTCAAACTATATCTAGTTACCTACCGCATTCACTCCATATTTTACCGTCAAACCTTGGTAACTCCCAAATTGGTTTATTCAGGTAATCGGTTCTTAATAGTCTCCCAATTTGGTATGCCTGTTATTTGAAGTATTTCTAAACTGGTATATCCTTCTAATAGATGGCCTCTTGTCCATGTTTCTCAAGCCAGGTATCTGCTGCCACCACTAGTTCCACATGAGAAGCATTGGTATCACATGTTGGAAAGGGGACTTATCACAGGTTTGCACCGCTCAATTTGCCAGCTTGCATTCCTTCATGCAACTTATGTTACATGAATGCCCCAAACCTCCTACTTGTATTCCCAGGTATACTAGCCTCGTATCTCAAGCCAGGTCCCTGCTGCTGCTGCCCGGTTTGCCGTCCCCAGGTCTTAATGTTTCCTAAGTTTTTCGGTGCAATATACTACTTACTATCTCCTAAGTACTCCCTTATATAGTATTCGTCAGGACCATAGTTCGTGAGGACTCCTTGAGTTGCACAGCAACTACAAGGCTACACACTTCCAGCCATTGGCTATTTTTGTAATTCTGCTTTAATGATCTATCTTGTTAAAGACCAGCCTAACACCACGAAATTATTTAAGTGGCAAGCTAAATCACTTCTAGCTAGCTATTACTAATTAGTGTCATATTAATATTGGTAAATTCTAACTCTTTTTCGTCATAGACTTCTATATAGGTGTGACCAGAGCCCGAATTGATACCTTTAAATGTACAGGAGTAGGTTACATACTCCACGCCAAGTAGCCTTCTATAGTCAATAATTGTTATTATCAATCACTTGTCCATACAATTATTAATACTTTTTCTTATTCATCCGTACAGTTATCAATGCCTTCTATTGTTCTTCCACACAACTAGCACCAAAATGTTACGACTAGAGAGAGCTTTTATATATCTAGGCCAATTTAGTCTAGTGCCGTAAGCATAAATCCTGATAGTAAATAGCACAGTTTGGATTCGTATATAGTAATAATTATCGATTGGGGTAAGTACTGCTGCTTCAATAAGACTATATTCGAAAGAAGTTATCACAGGTTATGCCTGGGTTGATTAGGATCCAAGTCAGGTTGTTATAGGTTGCAGCTAGGTTATGTAAATTCTAGGTTAGATCACCACAGGTTACGTATAGGTCCAAGTTAGGTCACTATAGGTTACGTTTAGGTTCAAGTTAGATTACTACAGGTTACATTTAGGTCCAAGTTGGTTATCATGTATCACTTAGTAAATAAGATCAGAGCTTATTATATAATTATTATCAGGTCAAAATAATAAAAAGTTGGAAAAGTTAGGTAAAGTATCTACTTTATTTATTACTGAAGCCAAGTAAGAAAGAGTTACTTTATTTATTAAGCAAATGTCCTATTTATACATTTTGATGGGTAAGGGTTTCAAACTCAGATCTGGGGTTTCGAACCCAGATCTGGGGTTTCAGACCCAGATCTGGGGTTCTACACCCAGATTCTAGGTTTTAAACACTAATCTCAGATTTCAAACCCGTACATGTGCTTTTACTATTGTAGTTATATGATTTACTACTTTTACACAGAGAGATAAAGAAACTATATAGCGAAAGTGCAAGGTATGAAAAATTTGTCAAAATTTTTCATAACAGTGTTTACTGACCTTGTTAGAATTACTGCTCTATATAATATATCACCAATCTGAAAAAAAATTTCCTAACAAAAAAAATTCTAAAGAGCAAATAGAATAAGAGAAATTACAAGAAAGAAGATATTTTAAAACAAAACATATAAGAAAATAACTAAACTAATAAAAAGAATCTAAAGTACTAATTATAAAACTAAAGAATCTATTTAACAAATTGGTATCTGTTAACTAGGATACTTATTTATTTGATCATAGTAATTACATAGAACTCAGCTAATATATAAAAAAAAACTAAGCTAAATGTACTTTAACCTGTGCTAAAAGCTAAAAATTATATACACATGACTTTGTTATTAAACTGCATATCTCAAATTCTCTTTATTGCTCTAACTTTAAATCTATATTCTATTCCAAAGTATAACAAATATATCAACTTCACATGTTCTCTCAGTCTCGTTTCGTCTAATTGGTATATAAGTTCTTAAAATTTTCTGAGTTCTCAATATACTAGGGCCATATTCTCAAATAAAAAATAAATTACTTTCTATGTAGCTACATATTTGTTGTATTCATATTACAAAGTTGCCAAATATAGAAGTGATAAACAATATTGATCTTTTGACAAGAAGTAGCCTAATCCCTACTTTTTGTCAAAAATTAGTTTTAGAAACATCAAAGCAACAAGAGAAGTTTTGGTTTTGTGAGTTTCTAACTAAAAAAAGTTTTTTCAAGAGTTTGTTATATCTTTCTGTCTTCAAACTTTCTGAGTTTTCTTTTCTACTTGTTGTTCCCAGAAACTCCTCTAGTTTGGATACTAAACACAAAAAAGAGTCTATCTAAGAAGGTCTAAAAAAAAGTTTAACCTCTTTACAAACCATCCAAAACATCTGCTCCTTAGTGTATCATATTTAAAAACTTCATTGATAACAGTTTATATCAAAAAAACTTCAAGTTGTTGTTAACTTCTGGTCTTGAGTCTTCAATTTGTTTTCAGTACTAGTTGGTCCAAATGATTATTGGAAAGAGTTGTGTTGACTTGAATATCTTTTTTTTTTTTTTTTTTTTAAATTTAGTTTTTTTTTTAAAAACTTCTCTTGTATTTCAATAAAGACTTTCTGATTTCTAAACAATTTTACTAAGATCTTTTTTTACTATTCCTAGAACTATATTTTTCTTTTTCTTTTTTAATTCTTGATTTTCTTTAGTCTTTCTGCTATCATGTTTTGTATTAGATTTGTATCAATAGTCTACTAAGATCTAAACTATTAAATTTACTCAACTAATAGTTTTTTTTCTTTTTTTTCTAGTTTTTATTATTGTTTTTTGTATTTTCTTAATATACAATTTTTATAATCTAATTTATTATATTTCTCTGTAAGTTTTTATTTGATTGCTATTATAATTTTTGTTCTTTTCTAAGGTTGTTTAGTTTTGTTTCTTTTTAAATCTTGTTTAAGATTTTTGTTTCTTTAAGACTTTCAATATCTTGCTTCTTGAATATCTTTTTTTTTTTTTAATTTTTTCTTTCTCTCTTTGTAGACTTGCTATAGCAATTTTGATAGTTTTTTTAAATTTTTGTGCTAATATTTTTAATATTGTTTGGTTATTATTTTTATTAATTTTTTCTT